GTCATCGGGTATCTCGTGATCGGACAGCACTTCACGACAGCCCTAACGCTGTGCGCCATCGGTTCCGTCACCGACCTCTTGGACGGCTATTACGCCCGTAAATACAATTGTGTCACTAAATTGGGCGCTCTGTTGGATCCGTTGGCCGACAAACTACTGGTCGCCACTCTGACCATCACTCTAGCGGTCGTCCATTTGATACCCCTTTGGTTGGCGCTACTAATTCTGACCAGAGATTCGCTGATAATCAGCGGCGCTCTCTATCTGATGCACCGGCGACTGAGTCCGCCCAAGACGTGGACCCGTTTCATACAGATGTCAACAGAGATGTCAACGATTAAGTTCGTGCCGACACTCATCTCGAAGATTAACACCGGTTTCCAGTTCTCGTTAGTGGCGGTCACTCTGGCGGCGCCCGTCTTCTCCTATACAGACCACTGGGCGCTGACATGCCTTCAGTTGGCCACCGGCGCCACTACTCTCGGCTCTGGCCTTAACTATCTGAAGCGTTTGCGACCGTCGGCCCAATGAGTGGCCGATATTATTGTTATAGTGTTTTAAATACAAATTGTGAATAAATTTATTAAATATTTTATTAGTATTTTATTATTAATTACGATTTGAATTACAATTAAGACTATATTTTATAGGAAATCATTGATTAGTCATTGAATATTGTGTTAAATGTTTCTTAAATGTAAACAATTTATACGATAATTAAAAATTTTATTAAGAATATCAACCTTACCACCATTTATAAAGTACTTGATGATCATTAAATAAATTTTATTAATTTATTTCTATAGTATTATAATTGAAAGTTTAGCCCTTCAGGCAATTAATTTAAAAATACCGGTATTTCTGGTCTTCATTTGTTATTTAAGGTTTATTTTTAAAATGTTTTTAATTTTTATAATTTTTTAACATTTACTTAATATAAAGACGCGAATGATTCAAACAGGATTTAAGGAATTCTTGTCCATAAGTACGGATCCATTTGGTGGCAATCCATTTGTCACCGACCAGTACTGGACACCCGCTATGAAGTGTCAACGGATCGGTGTCTCCCGAGTCGTACAGATTATGCCAGAAAAGTGCCGCAAACTTCTCGGGCAAAATGGTTACATTCAAGAGAGGGAAGACAGTGGCGCCGCCGGCCTCCACATCGGCCAAGTAGTTGATCCACGTGACCATTAGTTGGGATCCGTTACTCTCCCGATAGGCATTGGACGAGTCGTAATGATAGTCGTAATAACCGCCGACACTGTATTTGACAACATTGTATGGTTCGGCATAACTTGTGTTGAGGCCAGTGATGGCGCCGATACGTCGGCTCACAGTTTGAAGCACCCGATCATACCTATCGTATAACCAATTGCCGTTCGCCACCCGTATATTCAGTCCCTTTTTATCTGAATCCGATTGATTCGATTTATTATTTTTTACTACTTTTAGCCGACGAAGCGATGGTTTGGTCATTGATATCATGGTTTGTGTTTCTTTGTCTGACATGAAGTCATGGATTACAAGAATTTGCGGTCTTTTATACTTCTCTTCCACTTTAATACGAGTTAACCGTAAAAATGGGATTTCAGTCGTGTTTAGGAAATAACAGTTTAATTGCGAAACAATTGAATCGTTTAAAAGTTTTTCTCCTCTACACAACTGATCCCCGCTTTCACTCAATCCATAAATTGGATTCAATTTACTCTCGGATTTGAGCTAAAAATATTCATTACTTTAATTGTTATAAATTTATATAAATAATGTCTCAAAACCTGTTGTTTCACAGATTCAATGTCCGGTTTAATAGCCATTGAAATTCTCAAATATCTTTGGGCTTCACTTGAATTTTTCATTTTTTGCTCAGAAGAGGACAGGTATTTGGAAATGTCTGCAATTGTCTCATCGGTGGTCTTGTTATCAATTTTAATGATCGCTTCAGTTAACCATATCTTTCGAGTACTCCATGTTTTCAAACGTTAATTTTCCGATTAAATAACAATCGAAAGCATTTAGTGTTTGGTTTTGTAGACCAATAAATTTGATGACCACTTCATCTCCGGATCCGTTATTATATTTTATAAAACCATTTATTAATGATTTGATATCCAATCCGTATGTATTCACGAGACTTATTAACCCATAGGCAGAGTCTGTAAATTGAATTCACATTAATATACTGTATATTAAGCAAAATACTAATATTTATTCAATATATAATAGTAACTATTAGTAAATCAAATTTAAAATGTTTAAAATAAATAAATTTAATTACTCTTCAATTCTTTATTAGTTATCTTATCGTCAAAACGTGTCAGTATTTTGGATATGTTTTTCAGAGTTGTTCTTCGATGACAATCGACGCCAAAGAGATTGCATTGAATATCAAACAAAGGTTTGCCTTTATTTTCTAATAAATGCTTCACTTCTTGCCATTCAATGGCTATTCTTCTGGTGAGAAGGTAGACATCGATTGGATGTCTTAGAAGTGATTCCTTGTCTTCATTCAAAGTAATTGACTTTAATTCAGAAAAACTATTTAATAATCCTTTTAATCGAGAATTGATGGCCTCTTCTGTAGATAAATATTCACTCAATGTCTCAATCATTGACTTCTCTTCAGTCAAGAAATGAGACAATTTTGCGAAATCAATGTTAAAACTATTTACGGATGAATTAAAACAAATTATATGTAAAATAGAAATTACAATTTGAAAGTATTTCATTATTTACACGGAAATAATATTAGACCATGTTAATTAAACAATTCCATCACTTTTATTTCACAATAATTCACTTATTAATTTGATTAAATTATATACAAAAGTATTTAACAGATAACACTACTATTTTATAATAATTTTTTATATAACAAAAAACAAACAAATTTCGATAAAACATATTTTCTATAATTTATAAGTGTTTAAACATTTAAACTTCAAATTGTTTGTGATTATACGATGACATGTATTATCTGTTTTAACAAACAACTCGTGTCATGTATTTTCATTTCTTTTATTAATTGATATAACAATTAAACATTTACTTAATGTAAAGATACGATTCATTCAAACAGGGCTTAAGAAATTCTTGTCCATATGTGGGGATCCATTTGGTGGCAATCCATTTGTCGCCGACCAGTACTGGACACCCGCTATGAAGTGTCAACGGATCGGTGTCTCCCGAGTCGTACAGATTATGCCAGAAGAGTGCCGCAGACTTCTCGGGAAATACGGTTACATTCAAGAGGGGGAAGACAGTGGCGCCGCCGGCCTCCACATCGGCCAAGTAGTTAATCCACGTCGCGATCACTTGGGGTCCGTTAGTCTCCCGATACGCGTTAGACGAGTCGTAATGATAGTCATAATAACCGCCGACATTGTATTTGATAACATTATACGCTTCGGCATAACTCGTGTTAAGGCCAGTGATGGCACCGATACGTCGGCTTACAGTTTGCAACACCGGGTGATAGTTATCGTACAACCAATTGCCTTTTGCCACCCGTGTATTAGATCCGGGATTATCCGTTTGATTCACATCTCCCGATACTCCTAACCGATTAAGCGATGGTTTGGTCATTAATATCATGGTTTGTGTTTCGGTGTCAGACATGAAGTCATGGATTACGAGAATTTGCGGTCTTTTATACTTCTCTTCCACTTTAATACGAGTTAACCGTAAAAATGGGATTTCAGTCGTGTTTAGCAAATAACACTTTAATTGAGAAACAATTGAATCGTTTAAAAGGTTTTCTCCGCCACACAACTGATCCTCGGCTTCAGATATGATGTAAATTGGATTCAATTTAGTCTCCGATTGCATCTAAAAAAATATTCATTAAATTTAATTGTTATAAAATTTCTATAAATAATGTCTCAAAACCTGTTCAAAACTGATCACAGATTTAATGTCCGGTTTAATAGCCATTGAAATTCTCAAATATCTTTGGGCTTCACTTGAATTTCCCATTTCTTGTTCACAAGAGGATAGGTATTTGAAAGTCTCTGCAATTGTCTCATCGGTGGTCTTGTTATCAATTTTAGTGATCGCTTCGGTTAACCATATCTTCGCCTCCGATGAGGCCTCAAACGCTTCAAACGTTTGTTTTCCCATTAAATAGCAATCGAAAGCATTTAATGTCGAGTTTTGTTGCTTTGATTTAATGACCACTTCATCTCCGGATCCGTTATTATATTTAATAAAACCATTTATTAATGATTTGATGTCCAATCCGTATGTATTCACGAGACTTATTAATCCATCCGCAGAGTCTGTAAATGAGATTAACATTAATATAAATTTAGCAAAATGTAAATTAAATGGATTTAATTACTGATCATATCTTTATTAGTTATCTTATCGTCAAATCGTGTCAATATTTCGGACGTGTTTTTCAAAGTTGTGTTTTGATTACAATCGACGCCAAAGAGATTGCATTGAATATCAAACAAAGGTTTACTTTTATTTCCCAATAAATGCTTCACTTCTTGCCATTCAATGGCTATTCTTCTGGTGAGAAGATAGACATCGATTGGATGTCTTAGAAGGGATTCCTTGTCTTCATTCAAAGTAATTGACTTTAATTCAGAAAAACTATTTAATAATCCTTTTAATCGAGAATTGATGGCCTCTTCTGTGGATAAATATTCACTCAAAGTCTCAATCATTGACTTCTCTTCAGTCAAGAAATGAGACAATTTTGCGAAATCAATGTTAAAACAATTTACGGATGAATTAAAACAAATTATATGGAAAATATAAATTACAATTAGAAAGTATTTCATTATTTACACGGAAATAATATTAGACCATGTTAATTAAACAATTCCACCACTTTTATTTCATATACAAAATAATTCACTTTTAATTTAATAAAATTATATACAAAAGTATTTAACAGATAACACTACTATTTTATATTAATTTTTTATATAACAAAAAACAAACAAATTTCGATAAAACATATTTTATATAATTTATAAGTGTTTAAATTTTTAAACTTCAAATTGTTTGCGATTATACGATGACATGTATTATCTGTTTTAACAAACAACTCGTGTCATGTATTTTCGTAACTCTTATATTAATTGATATAACAATTAAACATTTACTTAATATAAAGATACGATTCATTCAAACAGGGTTTAAGAAACTCTTGTCCATAAGTACGGATCCATTTGGTGGCAATCCATTTGTCGCCGACCAGTACTGGACACCCGCTATGAAGTGTCAACGGATCGGTGTCTCCCGAGTCGTACAGATTATGCCAGAAAAGTGCCGCAAACTTCTCGAGCAAAACGGTTACATTCAAGAGGGGGAAGACAGTGGCGCCGCCGGCCTCCACGTCGGCCAAGTAGTTAATCCAAGTGCCGATCCGTTGGGATCCGTTACTCTCCCGATAGGCGTTGGACGATTCGTAATGATAGTCATAATAACCGCCGACACTGTATTTGATAGCATTGTATGCCTCGGCATAAGTGGTGTTGAGGCCAGTGATGGCACCGATACGTCGGCTTACAGTTTGCAACACCGGGTGATAGTTATCGTACAACCAATTGCCGTTCGCCACCCGTATATTGAATCCCTCTTCATCTGAATCCGATTCATTCTTTTTCACTACTTTTAGCCGACGAAGCGATGGTTTGGTCATTGATATCATGGTTTGTGTTTCGTTGTCTGACATGAAGTCATGGACTACAAGAATTTGCGGTCTTTTATACTTCTCTTCCACTTTAATACGAGTTAACCGTAAAAATGGGATTTCAGTCGTGTTTAGGAAATAACAGTTTAATTGAGAAATAATTGAATCGTTTAAAAGTTTTTCTCCTCTACACAACTGATCCCCGTTTTCACTCAATCCGTAAATTGGATTCAATTTAGTTTCGGATTTGATCTAAAAATATTCATTACTTTAATTGTTATAAATTTTATATAAATAATGTTTCAAAACCTGTTGTTTCACAGATTCAATGTCCGGTTTAATAGCCATTGAAATTCTCAAATATCTTTGGGCTTCACTTGAAATTCCTATTTCTTGTTCACAAGAGGACAAGTATTTGAATGTCTTTGCAATTGTCTCATCGGTGGTCTTGTTATCAATTTTAGTGATGGCTTGAGTTAACCATATCTTTGCATTCGAGTACTCTATGTTTTCAAACGTTAATTTTCCGATTAAATAACAATCGAAAGCATTTAGTGTTTGGTTTTGTAAACCAATGGATTTGATGACCACTTCATTTCTGGATCCGTTGTTATATTTAATCAAACCATTTATTAATGATTTAATATCCAATCCGTATGTATTCACGAGACTTATTAATCCGTAGGCAGAGTCTGTAAATTGGATTCACATTAATGTTAAAGATTAAGTAAAAATTAATATTTAGTTATTAACTAACGTTAGTATTAAATAAAATGTAAATTAAAATATTTATTGTAAAATAAGTGGATTTAATCACTCATTAATTCTTTGTTAGTTATCTTATCGTCAAATCGTGTCATTATTTCGGATGTGTTTTTCAAAGTTGTGTTTTGATGACAATCGACGCCAAAGAGATTGCATTGAATATCAAACAAAGGTTTGCTTTTCTTTCCCAATAAATGCTTCACTTCTTGCCATTCAATGGCTATTCTTCTGGTCAGAAGATAGACATCGATTGGATGTCTTAGAAGGGATTCCTTGTCTTCATTCAAAGTAATTGACTTTAATTCAGAAAAACTATTTAATAATCCTTTTAATCGAGAATTGATGGCCTCTTCTGTGGATAAATATTCACTCAATGTCTCAATCATTGACTTCTCTTCAGTCAAGAAATGAGACAATTTTGCGAAATCAATGTTAAAACAATTTACGGATGAATTAAAACATATTATATGTAAAATATAAATTACAATTAAATAGGATTTCATGGTTAGCACAAAAAATATACTTTTATTCAAATAATAAAATTTTTAAATACAATTAAAACTAATATTTTTATTATTAAAACAAATCACTAAAATACTAAAATATTTGTATTGCAAAAGAGTGGGTTAAATAAAATAAATCATTATTAAAACATGTTAAGTATAAATTCATTGCCATTTATAATGTTATTTAATATAATGTAAATGTATTGATGACTCGATATAATGACAATACAATGATTGACCAAAAATCTAACCATTTCTTGCATTTACAGAATTACAGAATAATGTCATTTAATTAATATAAACATAATTTATCAATTCAATGATGATATTTATATACATATTAATATATTTAACAAATATCCACTTTAATTGTTTTATATTTTGGATTTATAAAAGTTTATAATTAACAATAAGTTTGTCACAACTAACAACAACTTTGTAAGTTTATGATTTATATGAGTACAGCATTAACTACATTACTAGACATACAGTATACGAGTACACTTGTATACTTGTATACGAGTGATGCGAAAACAAAATAATTGTCATGAATAAACCATAAAATTAGTTAATTACAACTTTGCATTTTAAATTATTTTCTGATGTAATAATCAAAAAGTTTACGAGTAATTAATAGCAAAAGTTCCAAGATCAGTTTAGATAACTACAATATCTTGGTAGCCAATAGCAACAGTTTGTTGCGATACATCATTAATTATGCCAATTATAAACATATAGATGGTTTAAGCCGGTGTGCTATAAACAAAGCAAAATAGCCCACGTTAAAATATTAGAAACATAATTAACCCTACCACATTAATGAAGAACAAGCATGGTCAAATAACACAGTACTTGCCGTTCGTGAACTTCAATTTTGGTAAAAGTTGTTTTGCAATGAATTCACACATAATTTATGTATTGAATGACAAGAAAACACAATAACAATACAACTCTCACTCTATGTCCCTATCATTACGTGTTCTTCACATCACTTAACCATTCATTCAATGCTTTTATTATTTATAAACACTTTTTATTAGAAATTCATTTAATTATTAATTCATTGAATTATTTGTTACGAAACGACTAAACAATGCATTCATTCAATGCATTCGTATCGTTATTATTGACCATTTGTTTGGTATGCGTTGATTGTGTCGATCGCAGCAACTTTAAGACATGCGATCAGTCGGGCTATTGTCGGTACGTATGGCCACCACATCCCCGGCCACCCCTCCCGACCCCTCCCCCACCCCTACACACCCTGTAGTTTGTTTGACACACTTTGAGCACCGATTGGTTCGTACCGTACGGCCGGTTCATACCTGTGCCGGCGTTTCCCACGGCTTATAGCCCACCCGTGCGCTCACATACCGGCGCCCATTGTGTCCATACTTTTGCCAATTGTGCTATCATTTAGTCCACTATTTGTGTTGTTTTTGTCAAACTATTGTTTAATTTTTTGTTTTTTGCCGGCATTTCATAGGAGGCAAAGAAATCAGACGCCAAATGAAGACAATCAGTGGCTTGTGGTCAGCGATTCGGTCACTCAGTCATCGGACGGCCATTCGGTAGAGTTTCGGCTCAAGAATAGCCATACGGGCGTCACTTTACAGGCGCTCATCTATTCGCTGGTCAGCGGACACGTGATTCGTCTCAAAGTCAATGAAATCAATGGTCTTCGGCACCGGTTTGAGGCCAAGGACTCACTACTGCCCGACATTCCCCTCTCGGCCCTCAAACTGGCCGATCAGACGGCCGATGGTTTTACCCTTCATTTGGCCGACACTAAGAACAAGGCTGTGATCACTGCGAAGCCGTTCCGAATCGATGTCTATAGCGATGATAAGCTGGTCATCAGTGGTAATCAGAGGGGACTCTTCAAGTTTGAACACTACAGACCAAAGCCCGCAGGTATTGACGCCATTCCCTCATTGATTGCTTCAATCATTTCATATCATCTTTTTGTTCATTAATTTAAATTATTTGACAGAAAATATAAGTTTTAAATCATTTGAAAGCTATTGTGAAAAACATATAAATTGTCTCTAAATGTGTGATTAGATTATTCTTATACAAGTGATGATATGACAACTGATCCGTACTATAATCCAGAAGTGGATGATTCTCTTGATTATCTTGATTCTAATGAGGCTGAGACTNTTAGATTATTCTTATACAAGTGATGATATGACAACTGATCCGTACTATAATCCAGAAGTGGATGATTCTCTTGATTATCTTGATTCTAATGAGGCTGAGACTGACGGTGCGATTCAATTCATATTCACATTCATTCACATAACTATTCATTGATATGGTATTTGTTGGCTCTCTCTCTCTCTCTCTCTCTCTCTCTCCAGTCTTATGAAAGATAAGATAAAATATTTAGTAAAAATATTAAATACTTAGACAACGGCTGACAATACTTGTGATCAATGAATAACAAAGTAAATGCACCAAAAATATTATCTTTTCATTTATTGGCTAAGAATTAAATCTAATTGTAATCATAAATCTATTATTAATTCATTACTATATATCACTAATCATTACATAAAACAATAATTATTTAAATTTAATTATTAATAATTTGTGGCCGCAGAGAGCGGTGCCGAGAATGAGGGACAACAGCCACCAGAACAGCAACAGCCGGTCGAAGAGTGCACCGATAGCTGTTGGGAGGAGTCGTTCAAATCGCACACCGATACCAAACCCTACGGCCCGATGTCTGTCGGCTGTGACTTCACGTTCGTTGACTTCGAGCACGTGTACGGCATTCCCGAACACGCGGACAGGTTTGCCCTCAAGAATACCAAAGGTTCACATCCATTGATAGTTGACTTGATTTAAGACACACCACTTTATCGTATGTTTGCGTTAAAAACCATAGGTTCGTCGGATCCGTACCGTCTGTTCAACGTTGACATTAATGAGTACGAACTCGAGAACCCGATGGCACTGTACGGCGCCTACCCTTTGATGGTCGCCCACTCGACCTCCCGAACGGTGGGTCTCCTGTGGCTGAACCCGTCGGAGACGTGGATCGACATCGAATCGGCCAACACTGGCTTCTCGGGTCTCATCTCGAATCTGGTGTCCGGAGAGTCGAAGAATAAGTTAACGCATTGGTTCAGTGAGACCGGTGTTGTCGATGTCTTTTTCCTATTGGGGCCCAAATCCAGTGATGTTATGGAACAGAACGCCAAACTCACCGGCACTACACAACTGCCCCCTCTTTACTCCATTGGTTACCATCAGTGCCGTTGGAATTACTGGTCACAAGGTTTGCCAACTGATCCACTGTTTATACGCTGATTATCATTATTTATAACTGCTTTGAACGATATTTTTAGCCGAAGTGAGTGAAGTGGACAGCGCGGCCGACGACCACGACATCCCAGTGGACGCCATATGGTTGGACATCGAGTACACTGAGTCCAAGTCCAAGAAGTACTTCACTTGGGATCCGCACACGTTCTCCGACCCCAAGTCATTGGTGTCTAACCTGACGTCAAAGGGTCGCCGATTGATCACTATAATTGATCCGCACATTAAGAAAGACACGGGTTATCACATCTACACCGAAGGCACCAAAAATAGCTATTTTATGAAGAATAACAAAGACGAAGACTTTGATGGTATGTGTCTTTGGAAATGATGGTTATTTACTATAAGATAATAGGGTTATAATGTGGTGACTGTCCATTAGGGTGGTGTTGGCCGGGGAGCTCGATGTGGGTGGACTACCTGAACCCGGAAGCGGCCAAATGGTGGGGCGATAAGTTCAATCCGTCACACTTTCCCGGTTTCGATGGATTGGTCGACATCTGGAACGACATGAACGAGCCGTCGGTCTTCAGCGGTCCGGAGATATCGGCGCCGAGAGATAATAAAGTAAACACTGAACTCACTGTGCGATTCGATGTCGGTATTAACTGTCTGTTCACCCAATGATTGTCTAGCATTTCGGTGGTGTAGAGCACAGGGATGTGCACAATATGTACGGCTTTCTGATGACGAAAGCGACGTACACTGGGCTGAAGGAGCACCGGCCGAATCAGCGGCCATTCATACTCACGCGTTCATTCTTTGTGGGGTCGCAGCGGTACTGCGCCGCCTGGACGGGCGATAACATGAGTAAATGGGAACACTTGCGGATCACAATACCGATGCTGTTGTCGCACTCGATCGCCGGCATTACGTTCATCGGCGCCGACATTCCCGGCTTCTTCTTCAACCCGGAGTCCGAAGAGCTGGTCGTCCGCTGGTATCAGACGTCAGTGTTTCACCCGTTCTTCAGAGGACACGCCCATCTCGACACCAAACGCCGCGAGCCCTGGACTTTCTCCGAGCCCACAAAACTGGCCATTCGTGACGGTATGTCTCCTTCGCTCAGCTCTCGAGCTGATCCGTGCGTTTGTTTTGTTTGACAATAAGTTTTTTGTTTTGTTTTTTTCATTGAAACCCAGTATTCCGTATGCGTTACCAGTATTTGCCGCTTATGTATAAACTCTTCTACGAGAACGAGAGGTCAGGAATGCCTCCAATGAGACCGCTTTGGATGACTTTCCCCGAAGACGTCAAGACGTTCGCCACGGATGACGCCTATATGTTGGGCGACGCACTGCTCGTCCATCCCATCCAAACCGAGGGCCAGACCTCTATTGAGGTCTACTTCCCGACGAGTGGCAGCACGTCTTGGATCGACGTGAAGAACCATCACGTGTACGGCGGCGGACATTCCCATAGCATTCAGGCCGACATCAATACCATACCTGTGTTCCAACGCAGCGGTACTGTTGTGCCCAAGAGGTCGGTGTCCGGCGATTGTGTCACACATTTATTTGTCACTCATTTCTAATCGTTTTGTTTTTGGTGTCAACTCTTAGGGAACGGATGCGACGGAGCGCTCAGTTGACAGTCGAGGACCCGATATCGCTGGACATATTCCTCGACAGCAACGGATCAGCTGAGGGACAGCTATATCTGGACGACGGACAGACATTCAACTATAAGTCCGGACAACATATTTACGGCAAAACACAGTTCCAGAGGAAGACGTTGTCGTATGAGATAATTGATGGCAAATACGACGCGTCGAAGGCATGGCTCGAAAGAGTCACTATTTTTGGGTATCCGTCGAAACCCCAGAAAGTGGTCATCACTTCGGGAGAGAAGACAATTCAATTGGCCTTCAAATATGACTCACAAAAGCGTATACTTGTTGTCCGCAAACCCGGACTCGCATTCACTAACAAATGGCAGATTAAAGTCACCTAAAATTAGATCCAATTCTTTGTCCCATTAATTAAGTTCATTAATAGATTGTTTTGCAATAAATTTTGAATTATATTTTAATTGTATTTTTCTGTGAATTAAATACAATTAATGATTGAAATAAAATAAATTTTAGTTTTAAACAAATTTAAAAACGAGTAATTTTTACAATGATTTATATTAATTAAATTATTTGAAATATAATTAAAAGTTTAAGACATTTAAATATTAATAAAAAAGTAATTAAATTAAACAATTAAAACAAGTGATGAATAATTAAAAAAATAATAAAACAATGAATTTGTTGTCAAAGATAATGAATATTTGTTCATTTGTTGAGACACTCTTTGACGTATTGGATCCGATCGGTGACCTCTTCTTTGGGCGGTTGCGATGGCTTCGGAAAGACCAGGTCTTTGGGGGCAATGGCCGGCAGTCGGGGTCCGGCGCCGTCCAAAGCATACTCCCCGAAGTACGGCCCGACCGGTCCGCCCGTCCACTCCTCAGCCGCCGTCACATCCGCTCCCGATTTCTTCGGATCCTTTGTGTCCTTCAAGTCTTTCGTGTCCTTTGAGTCCTGTTTTTCTGCCATTGATTACAGTCTTTGGATCTGAAAAATAAAAATAATTAATTAATAATTAGTTATAAATTATTTAAATAAATACTTACTTACCTTTTATTTAATTATAATTGTAATTAAAATAATATAATTTTAATTTATTTGTGGCTTCACTTCACACGCGTTCACAAAGCAATGACTCGTGAAGTGATTGCAATCAAACTCTTTAATAAATGAAATAATTTTTTAAATCCAAAGGTTGGTGTAAATACACACATTAATTATTTTTAATATCCAAATGACCAAAAAATCCGTCCAGTCTATAATTGATATACGAATCTGTAAAAGTATAGAGAATTTCTACCTTGAATTAAATTACAACTTATATTTGACTAAATATTTCATTTATTTTATGTAATAAATTTAACTTAATTTTAATCACTTATCAATTACCATAACCTAAATAATGCACACAATCAATAAAACTGCCAACAATTACACACAATACTGTACACATATTCCCAGAATTTACTGGACATCAATAAGTGACCCAATTTGGCCCCTATTTAAGTCACTAACTCTACAACACATACATGCAGTCAACACACAATTACCAAAAATGTTGTCTAAATAAGACATTCACACTATTTGTGTGATTTTAATAAATTGTAACTTTTTATAAATTGTGAAAATTAAATAAAATTAATTAAAAGTTAAGAATAAAACGACTTATTCTTTACATATCTCTTACAGGGAATAAGCTAGATCAAATCTGCATTAAATGATAATACTGTTCTAGCTATGATCAAGCATATTGTTTTAATAATAAACACTCACTTTATATGTCGTAGATGTTAAACTGAGGTAGCACGTATAAAATTAGTGTTTATTATTAAAGGAATATGCTTAATCATAGCTAGAACATGCATACATTACATATTCGGGCGACTACCGTAGGTTAGTATATGGCCATTAGCCCGAAAAAATATCACTAATCTATTTCGATAATCCTAAACTATTATCACATCGGCATTAAAAACAATTCTCTCGCGGACCACTTGTGCATCTCAAAAGTTAGTATAATTACTTAATAGAATTATTATTTCAGTATAATATCAATTTTTATAAATGATAAATATAAATAAGGGTACAACTATGCATAATTTTTACACAAGGGGTGCACTTATAGCCGGATATTATTGTGATAGTCTTTGTGAAATGCAAATTTGTGAAATTCACTTATAATTAAATGCAACTATATGTAGCGTAATGGGTACTTTTGTATTACTTAATTATGAAAACTAAATACAGTAAAATAATACATAAACTATAAAAAAAAATTCATGCATCTTCACCAACCTTTTAAATATTATGAATTTTTTTATGATTCAAAAATGATATATGATTTATGCGGTCATAAATATAGTGACCAATAGTTTTCAAATACAAATAACTCATTACAATAGTCATACCAATTACTGCCACCCCTTCCCCCAAACCATACACTGAGTATTTGGTCACCAAAATTACCAATAATTTAATGCCAATTACATTGTACTGTATATTCACATAATATTCAACACTTATACACATTTTTAACCACAAATGAATTGTGAATAATGTGTCTCATTGTGTGCTATTGTTATGCATTCAGTGTTTAGTTGTATCGCAAATACGGAGCCAATGGTCGACACAAAGACTAAAACAAATCTACTTTTAAATAATTATGTTTTAAAACGTTTTTTAATCAAGAATTCAATTGACATTTACTTTTGATGTAAAAGTTTCACTACTTTTAGGCATATTTTAGTTGAAATTTTATTTATTTGTTAATCAAATCAAACAAATCCTTGAGTTTTTCTCAAACTTTTTACAAGAAAGTTGTTTTTGTCAAAAGCCTTAATTTATTTTTAAGACAAAAATAGATAATTTCTATTCATTTATAAAAACAATATTATTTTATGTTTTAAACAATTTTAAAACTCATTTTAACCATGTTCATTTTAAACTATAATTGAGCAAATAATTTATTTTGATGTTAATTTTATTGGACTAATGCTATTCCTATGGATATTGTAAGTTTTAGGATAATTTTATTTTCTCTATCGTTTCATCGGAATTGTGGTTAACTTATCGTTTGCTTATAAACTTGTTTTTAATTAAATTAAGTATAATTTTTATGATTTGTAGATAAGATCGGGAAAATGTATTTGTGTTTAGGTTTTGTCGACAAAACTATTTAATTATTGTATAATTGAATGCAAAGTTATTTTTCACACAAAAATTGATTAAATAATGAGTTTATTTGAATGTAATTTCCATTTGTGTTTAATTGTGTTGTGAATGACCTTAAACTCAATGCACACAACATTTGAATCAAATATATTAAAAATAATCTTAAATTCAATTCAATTATTGAATTAAATTCATTTAAATATAAATATTCTCTCTCTCTCTCTCTCTCTCTCTCTCTC